ATGGCGAGAGACAGCAGCGGTGGGCTTGCCAGACTACAGAGCAGAACACCTGTGGTGGGCTTGCTGGCCCACGGAGCAAGAGTGAGCATCTTGGGCAAGAGGTTTGCCAGCGAAGCTAACAATGCTGTAACACATGCCCATGTAGGGCAGAGGCCTGAGTGTGCCCTGTGCAGGGTTGCCTCAGAGGATTCTGTGCAGGAGTCTTCCTACAGCAGGGCAGAGCTGGATGCCTCTGGGCAGGAGTTAAAAGAGTTGTAACACTGTGTGGGGCAAGAGAGGCCTCAGCATGCCCTGTGAAGGGATTGTACATCTTTTCACCTGGACAGTGGGTGCCCAGGTAGCATGGAGGCAAGAGAGCCCCTCAGGCTTAGGTAGCGTGGTGGGAGCCAGTAGCAGAGGCTTGGGAGATCCTGTGCAGAGATCGTCCCACCATTGAGGCAAGGCCCAGCAGCAAAGCAGAACCCTAGGGCAGCATGGAGGTAGCCAGAGGCAGTGGTGACATGAACACGGCATCTGACCTGAACCACAATATACTTGCCCAGTGACATTAAGAATAGATGGGTAATTGGGGAAGGATAAGCATTTTCCCTTTGGAAATCTGTTATTGTTTACTATTTGCTTTCTATAAATAATAATAATGGCTTTCACTTTGCCAACACTGTTTAAGTATCTAGTGTGTCCAGCTCGATCACAGGTGAAAGTAGGACCCATAAAATGGTTGATGTCAGTGGGTATGTGTCTCATTCCTAGCAGCCTTATAACTTCTTGGGAGTTTGAGGCACAGCCTGTCTGCGTGTGCAACGCAGATAGACAGACATTGTAAAAATGGCATGATGGGGGTGTCCTATCTCCTGTAACTTCACAAGGGGAGAATTACCATTAACATCAGCCCAAGGCTGATACCTATGAGGTAGTAGTCAGACATACCTCCTCTCTCTAACCTTTTTACCAATCTTGACACTAGCTGTCCCTCCCACAGCACTCTGTCCTTCTGTGCTGGGTTCGTTAATTTGTTGGAATGGCCACACAGAATTCACAGACATTACTTGTAAGTATGTGGTTTATTCGGGGAGTTACAGGTTACAACTTGGGATGAGACACCCTGCTGGCACAGTGGTTAAGAGCTCAGCTGATAACCAAAAGGTCAACAGTTTGAATCCACCAGCTGCTCCTTGGAAACCCTACAGGGCAGTTCTGCCCTATAGGGTCACTGTGTGAGTCGATTCGACAGCAACAGGTTTGGTTTTTGGTATACTTGAGTTTGATATGAGCTCATTCTGAAGATCTAGAGGAATAAGACATTTTGTTGGTAACCTGGAAAGGAAGCATGATACAGCAACCAGTTATTTTTGTATAGTATTGAGCCTAAGTGGAGCTGAACAAATTCTGGAAAGAGATGTGTACAAAGTTCATTGAGGAAAAACAAGGAAACCAACTATGAACCTACTATTCTGTTAGAGGCCACTCTGCCTTGAATGGTCAACCATCAGGATGCCTTCAGCCTCAGTTGCACCGAGTTTGTGTTGATTTTGTGAATGGAGAATGTGTCCCCTGTACATCAGTGGTATTAGGATAATGGTTTCAGTGATACTGGTGAAAGCAGTGCTCTTGAGTTTGATGACAAATCAGGAATTCGAGTAGCATTAACTATGAATAAGCCACTTGTAATGACATCAAAGAGGACATTTTAGAGAAAAAAGAACAAGACAATCAAAAACAATCATGAACATCTGATACTTTTCTTGGAACTGATCTAGAAAATTAACTCTTATAATTCCCATATACACTTACTGCTCATTATTTACTGACTGCCATTCTAGTGGAAAGAAAAAGTACTTACATGTTCAAAGTGGACAAATTGCAACACAGAAACCAGATCCTTACTAGGATGTGTATCATACCAGGGTCCAGGATCATACCAGGGTCCAGGATCGCCAACAAAAGGCACAAACCACCTGTTCTAACAGTGCATGGGACAGTGCTTTATTCACATAGAGAAGAGACAGAGCTAGATCATCTTCACTCGTGGGCACCAATCTCCCAGCGAGTCCCCTCTTGCACTTGGTGCAGAACAAATGCTCCTTGCATGCCATTCACATGTTGTGGTCGAAGGAGAGACCCTGTTCCCTCCCCACTGGGAACAGATATAGAAGTGGAGTCGGCAAGGTGACATACGGTGCCTGCACGTGAGCAAGAGATAGAGAAAGTTACTGTGTGCCCAGAACAGGGAGGAAGGCTTCTCTGATAAGGAAAAGGAACTGAGAAAGAGAGACCCAATTTCTAGCCTCTTATCAGAAAATGTTGTGGGTCCAGTCTGCTTAGGCAGCCTGGATAGGAGACATAGAGGCAGACTGTCCACCCAACAATGTGGAAGCCAAGTTTTGCATTTGTTTACAGTGTGCGTAATAATATGTATTAATTACCTATAGTTTTAAGAAGACAAGTAGTCCTCTGAAGGACTAACTTAGAATCTTAAACAGGTCCTTGCCATTCCTGAGTCAAGGTATTTTGTTCAGAGAATTAAAAAGGATACCTTATGTGGCATCCAGGGACTCTGACTTCCTAAACGTAGGCTCTAAACCTTACTGCCTCCAAGTTACTTCTTTAGCCCAAAGCTTTTCAAATGTAGCTACTCACTCAGTCCCCTTAATGGCATAAGTAACTGGAAACTGACTTCTTACAACCTATGACAGAGGCAGAAGAGCTGCTATTTCACCAAAGGAAATTACTTACTTTGGAATTCTTTCTTATTTTAGAAAACAAGTTATGTTGATTCACACACTTCTCCATAAAAATAATTATCTGATTCAATATGGAGTGTCCACATTATTGTCAGATAAACTCAAGATCTGTATATTTAAATTTTTAAACAAATTTGATATTACCAAAAGAAAGAGCATTAATCTCTTCATTTCAAATGAGACTGGGCTTATGTTCACAATCATACACAGGGTCATAGTTCCACAAGCACACTTGATAGAGTAGTTTAAGACCATCGCAGTCGCTCATCCTCAGCTATACATACTCTTGTACACAGTTTTGCAGGCACGTGACAAATCCACTCGCAGTGCACATTTATAACCACCATGAAATGCACAAAAAAAGCATCAAAATAAACACAAATAGTAGAAATACCACTCACCTACAAATTCACAGAAAGATATAGTCTTAAATACATCATAGTCAAGGTCAGAACCTCACAGGCACTTTCCCATCTCTTCAGTTCCACCAGGCTCCTTTATAATTCCACACACAATCACAAATTCACTCACAGCCACCCACTGTTGCCTCCCAACAATCGTAGATGATTTTGAGCACAAAGCATCTCATACCCAAGGAAATAAAATCTCACAAGCAAGAACCACACAGAGACAGTTGCAGGCAAGGTCCCAGTTACAAGATTGCTGTCAACAACCAAAATATCACACACATACACACATACTCAAATGCCAGGCAGTGTTCTAAGCGCTGGAATAGCATCAGGGAATAAAGCACCAAGTCTTGCCTTCACAAAGCTCACCCCTCACCCACAGAAACCTACTTCCTGCCAAATGCCTTAAGGTACGGCTTCTACTTCCGCACCTGCGCCCTTAAGCACAGGCTGGAATCCCCAGAAATCTCAGCACACAGCGCTTGCAGGCGGGGCGTTGGTGGTTAACTGGCAGAATTCTCGCCTTCCATGCGGGAGACCAAGGTTCCATTCCCTGGCCAATGCAACTCTTGCGCGGCCACCACCAGTCTGTCAGTAGAGGCTTGCCAGTTGGAGATTTGCTTGTTACTATGATGCTAAACAGCTTTCAGCTAGCTTCCAGATTAAGACAGACTAGGAAGTAAGGCCTGGTGATCTACTTCCAAAAATCAGCCAATGAAAATCCTATGGCTCACAGCTGTATGATCAGCAGCCGATGACTGTGGGTTGCATGTTTCCTTCCGTTGTGCATGAAGTCGTCATCTTGTACGGACAGGCTCAGTGGCAGGCTGGGAGCTATCTGAAGACTCTGGCTCACATTTTCTAAAGATTTTCTGGCTCTGGACTTATTTCCCAGAAGTGTCTGGGGCACAACTCTTACAGAAACGGGGCCGTGTTGCATGCTGGGATAAATTTTAATGGCTAGGCTCAGAGCTTTTGGAATTTCTCTGACTCTCGACTACATTTCCCAGAACCCACCAGCGACACATCTCCTTTATGAAGGGGTCCAAAGTACATGTTGGGAGCAATAGGTACAGCCCATCTTTTGGGGCTTCTCTTGCTCTGGACTTCATTTTCCATAAGTCTGTGTAGGCATTGTCCTTAAACGTGAGCAGAATTTCTTGCTGGGCGAAATCTGAATGACCTGCAGGGATGCCAGCATTTGCAAATTCTCTTACACTCAACTATATTTCTCCTAAGTCTCCGGGAGAATGTCTTCTTTAAGAATGGTGCGAGATGCATGCTGACAGCGCTCTGAAGGCCTTACTTCCAGCTCCGAGGAGTCCCCGCTCTGGATCACATTTCGCAGAAGTTTCTACGTCACAGGCTCTTTAGCGACATCTTTTATTCCATCCTGGGAGCACCTGAACAGTCGGTCACGCTTAAACGCCAAGGATTCCTGCGCACTGGACTACATTTCCCAGAAGTCTCTGAGACACAGCTCCATTAGTATCGCGTCGAGTTGGATCCTGGGAAAGTGTGGAGAGCCGCGCTGCCAGCTCTGTGAATTCTCGGGGGCCTGAACTACATTTCCCAGAGGTCTCTGACGCAAGGCTCCATTAGTGCCGGGTCGAGTTGCATGCGGGGAGTCGTGCTTCCAGGCGTCAGGAATCCCGGATTGCGGACATTTCCCAGAAGTCCCTGAGGCACGGCTCCAATAGTACTGCGTCGAGTTGCACGCTGGGAAAATGTGGACGGCCGCCCTTCCAGCGCATTAGAGTCTCCGGTTCTGGACTACATTTCCCAGAGGTCTCTGAAGAATGGCGTCAGGAGGAGAGCGCCGAGTTGCATGCTGGGAGCATCTCTGTGCTTTGGTTTCCCTGGACACCGTTCCGAGTTACCCGCAACCTCAGCGCCCCCTTCCGACGTCCCGGGGGCTGATGACCCCCGAGCGGTGAGTTGTTCGCGAAACCAGCGAAGAGTGACAGTGAGGGAGGCGCTCCTGGCCTCGCCCAGCTTCCCAGCGTCGGCATTTGGCGGCGGGGGTGGCCGAGGGGGGAAGTACGACACTTTATTTGTGTGTGTGACAGAGACCGCGCGACGGGGCGGGCTGTGTCCCCGTTACTGAGATAACGTGTTTATGAGCGCCCGTGGGGGTACGGTCTGTGTCCCCGTTATTGAGGTGGTGCGTGTGAGCGCCTGTAGGGGTACGGCCTCCCTGTCATTGAGATTTTGTGTGTGAGCGCTTGTGGGGGTACCGGCCGTGTCCGCGTTACTAAGATACGTACGTATGAGCACCTGTAAGGGTTCGGGCTGTGTCCCCGTTATTGAGATAGTGCGTGTGAGTGCCCGTGGGGGGACGGGCCGTGTCTCTGTTACTGAGACAGTGCGTGTGAGCGCCTGCGGGGGGACGGGCCATGTCCCCGTTACTGAGATATGTGCGTGTTGGCGCGTGTGGCGGGGGAGGTGTGGGGAGAGACGGGGCCCGGCCGTGTCCCTGTTACTGAGATATGTGCATGTTGGCGCCTGTGGCGGGGCGGGGACAGGGTCCAGCTGTGTCCCCGTTACTAAGATACGTACGTGTTGGAGCGTGGGGGGAGGGGGGACAGGGTCCGGCCAGGTCCCCGTTACTAAGATACTTACATGTTAGAGCGTATGGCGTGGGGGGAGGGGGACAGGGTCCGGCCAGGTCCCCGTTACTGAGGTATGTGCGTGTTGGCGTGTGTGGCGGGGGAGGGGTGGGGAGAGACGGGGCCCGGCCGTGTTCCTGTTACTGGGATATGTTACTGAGATATGTGCGTGTTGGCGCCTGTGGCGGCGCGGGGACAGGGTCCGGCTGGGTCCCCGTTACTGAGATATGTGCGTGTTGGCGCGTGTGGCAGGGGAGGAGGGAGGGACTTGGCCTGGCCGTCTCCCTGTTACTGAGATATGTGCATGTTGGCGCCTGTGGCGGGGCGGGGACAGGGTCCGGCTGGGTCCCCGTTACTAAGATACGTACGTGTTGGAGCGTGTGGCGTGGGGGGAGGGGGACAGGGTCCGGCCAGGTCCCCGTTACTGAGATGTGTGCGTGTTGGCGTGTGTGGCAGGGGGAGGAGGGAGGGACGGGGCCCGGCCGTGTCCCTGTTACTGAGATATGTGCATGTTGGCGCCTGTGGCGGCGCGGGGCGGGAACAGGGTCCGGCTGGGTCCCCGTTACTAAGATACGTACGTGTTGGAGCGTGTAGTGTGGGGGGAGGGGGACGGGGTCCGGCCGGGTCCCCGTTACTGAGATATGTGCGTGTTGGCGCGTGAGGAGGGGCGGGGGAGGGTGGAGGGACGGGTCCCGGCCGGGTCTCGGTTACTAAGATATGTGCGTGTTGGCGTGTGTGACGGGGAGGGGGAAGGGGGAAGGACAGGGGCCGGCCGTGTCGCCATTACTGAGATATGTGCATGTTGGCGCATGTGGCAGGAGGAGGGGGGAGGGACGGGGCCCAGCCGTGTCCCCATTACTGAGATATGTGCGTATTAGCGTGTGTGGCGGGGGGGGGGGGGGAGGGACGAGGCCCAGCTGTGTTCCGGTTACTGAGATATGTGCGTGTTAGCGTGTGTGGCAGGGGGAGGGGGAGGGACGGGGCCCAGCCTTGTCCCCGTTACTTCCATATGTGCGCGTTGGTGCGTGTGGCGAGGGGAGGGGGAGGGACGAGGCCCAGCCGTGTTCCCGTTACTGCAATATGTGCGTGTTGTGGTCTGTGGCTGGGGTGGGGAGAGACGGGGTCCGGCCGTGTCCCCGTTACTGAGATAATGTGCGTGTTGACAAGTGTGGCGGGGGAGGGGGGAGGGACGGGGCCCAGCCGTGTTCCTGTTACTGGGATATGTTACTGAGATATGTGCGTGTCGGCGCCTGTTGCGGGGGGGAGGGGGGAGGAGGAGAGAAAGAGGGAGGGACAGGGCCTCGCCTTGTACCCGTTACTGAGGTATGTGCGTGTTGTCGCCTGTGGCTGGGGTGGGGAGGGACGGGGTCCGGCCGTCTCCACCTTACTGAGATAATGTGCGTGTTGACGCGCATGGCAGGGGGAGGGGGGAGGGATGGGGCCCAGCAGTGTCCCCGTTACTGAGATACATTAGTGAGATTTGTGCATGTTGGCGCCTGTGGCGGGGGGCGGGGAGGGACGGGGTCCAGCCGTGTCACCATTACTGAGATATGTGCGTGTTGGCGCATATGGCGGGAGGAGGGGGGAGGGACGGGGCCAGACCATGTCACTGTTACTGAGGTATGTGCGTGTTGGCGCCTTTGGAGGGGGGAGGTGGGAGAAGGGACGGGGTCTGGCTGTGTCCCCGTTACTGAGATATGTGCATGTTGGCGCTTGTGGGGGGCAGGGGAGGGACTGGGCCATTTCCCCATTACTGAGATACGTGCTCGTGCAGACCTGTCGGGGGACAGAGACGGGCTGCATCTCCTGGGCTCTGCTGTGTGGGAGTACTGCGTGTTTGCTCTATGGGGGCAATGAACTATGTGCCTTTGTACTTCTATGGGTATGACAGGACCGGGCAGCGTCCCTTGGACATGAGCATCCATGGATGTGACAGGGCCAGGGTGTGTCTCATATGATGCTTGTGACTATGAGGTTGTGACTGGTGCGGGGGAGGGAGATCACGGAGGCAAAGCGCCATCTTTATCTGGGTGGGTAATTGGCTGCCTTGCAGGGTCTTTTGAGTAAGCATGGGTTGCTATGGCAATGTGGTGTGTGACAGTATAACCCGTGGTTCTGAACGTTTCTCTGCTGCTTCCTCTGCCTTTAGCTACCAAAGAGCAATGGCCCCAAAGGGACAGAGCCTAGGTCCTATAGTGAAAACAACCCACGAGGCTTTTCATGGGATGACAATTTTAGGGCCTGAAGTGAGCTCAATAAAGGCTACAGAAAGATAGGATGGAAAGTCCTGGAGACCAGGTTTCTGTCTTTGGGGAGATCAGGTCCCTGATTGTAAGCTGGGGGAGAGGGCAGCTACATGTTCCAGAACCCTAGTTACTAGTTCCTAGAGCCTAGTTTCCAGGAATCTTTAAAATACTCAAAACAGATCCCAAAATCGAAAAACCAAACCCATTGCAATCAAGTTGATTCCAACACATAGTGACCGTAGAGGACAGAGTAGAACTGCCCATAGGGTTTCCAAGGCTGTAATGTTTTCTATGGAAGCAGACTGCCACATCTTTCTCCTGTGGAGCAGCAGTTGGATTCGAATCTCTGACCTTTTGATTAGCAGCTGAACACTTAACCACTGCACCGCCATGGTTCCTTAGACAGATCCCAGTACACGCTTATTTCTGATTGGTTTTGGTATGAGATAGGGGCAAGTGTGGTCCTGGAGAGTATTTTCTAATGTAGTCTGTGCTCCGGAAAGGCCATAATGTCTCGTTATACCTTTTTCTTTCCCCCAGGCCAACTGGCCTTCCAAAAGAAGCATCCTGAAAAAAAAGAACTAATTGTTACGCATCTTAAAATCAAGGTTAAGGTGTTTCCTCTTTGTTCATTAAATCATTTGTGTTTACAGGACTTAAGAATATTTGCTTTCCTTGGCTTGAAAATGTCCTCCTTAACAGAAAGTTAAAAGGTCCCTAGGTGGTGCAGACGGTTTGGGCTTGACTGCTAACCCAAAGGTTGGTGGTTTGAACCTCCCAGAGGTACCACAGAAGAAAGGTCTGGTGATCTTCCATAAAGATTACAGACAAAAAAACCCAATGGAGCAGTTCTACTCTGTAATATATGAGGTTGCCATGAGTCGGAATCAACGCAACAGCAATGGTAATGATAGGAATAGAGAAATATTAAAAACCCGTTGCTGTCAAGTCAATTCCTACTCATAGCGACCCTGTAGGACAGAGTAGAACTGCCCGATAGGGTTTTCAAGACTGTAATCTTTACAGAAACAGACTGCCACATTTTTCTCGCATGGAGCAGCTGGTAGTTTCGAACCACCAACCTTTCAGCAGGATGACAAATTATCAAGACAGCCTTTTAGATTAAATTTTCTAGAACTTTAATGTTTCTTTCACAGAAACTTGGGTGTCTTACAAATATCAACTAGACAAGCAACGTTTCCAAGAACTGTTACATGAAAAAAGGGTAAGATGGCAATAGTTTAAAATGTTCGCATAAATCTCCATATCACGTAGAAGTTAAGATTTAGCCTCTTGGGAATGTTCTCAATTTGGCGTCTTCGCAGAGTAGACTCTGTGAGCTAGACTGTGATATAGAATCACAACCATGTCTGTACCCTCTCGCTCCCCCTAGTTGCTGATGGGGAGGGAACATTTCCTCCTTAAATTTGTTAGAATCTTTTATACTAATGTTGTTAAGAAGAATTTCACTCTTAGACCAGACTCTGAAAGTTTTCTTAGCATTATAGAGACAGCTGGTTTGAGAAACACGTATTTTAGCATAAGAAAAAAAGGAAAACAGCTTGTCACAACTTGAGTTTCTTAAAATCTAAGTATCTGTAAGGCATTACTTGGGAATTTTAGCTATTTTTCCCATCAGTGCTTCAAAATATGTGGGCATATGTAGACATCAAAGAGTTAGTTTAGGTATTGGAAACTAAAAGGAAACAGAAAAGTTACTTGGTAAAATAATCCAAAGTTAATGTATTCTGAGCTTTTTCTGCATGTTTAAGAGGAGACTTTAAAAAAGAAAATTTTTCTGTCTTTTGAAAGTATAACTGCCTCTTAATAAATTTAAAATAAATGAAGGTATACATACAATTAAGAAGCCCTAGTGGTGCAACGGTTAAGTGCTCAGCTGCTAACTGAAAGACTGGTAGTTTGAACCTACCCAGTGGCTCTGTGGGAGAAAGACCTGGCAATCTGCCTCCATAAATATTATAGCCTAGAAAACAGAATGGGTCAGTTCTACTCTGTCACATGGGGTCACTATGAGTCAAATAAACTTGATGGCAACAGGGTTTTTTTTTGTTTTTTTTGTTTTTTGCTTATTTCATATGAGATCATACAGTATTTGTCCTTTTGTGACTGACTTATTTTCCCAACATGATATCTCAAGTTTCATCCACATTGTGGCATGCATCAGGACTTTATTTCTCTTTATGACTAAGTAGTATTCCATAGTATATATATATACCACATTTTGTTTATCTGTTCATCTGTGGATGGACATTTCGGTGGTTTCTACCTTTTGGCTATTATAAAAGTGCTGCAGTGAACATTGGTTTACTGCACCTGGTTTTAATGCTTCTTTTTCCTCCCTCTAGCTCTGGCTTCTCTGGACTGTGTGTTTTCACTAAAATAAACCAAAAGAGGACTGGTCAGTTCTTAAATTCTAAAACTATGGCCCATGTAAGTATGTATTTCTCTTTCCTTCTGGAAATGTGATATTCAGGTCCTGGGGATATTTTCATTCATTATCCCGAAGCCTCCTACCTAAGCAAGCTCCATCTAATTACTTCTCAGTTCTTCCTGTTTCAGTGAAAGATAAGGCCAGATAGTCCTGTCTTGGTTTCCTAGTGCTGCTGTAACAGAAGTACCACAAGTGGGTGGTTTTAAAGAACAAAAATTTATTTTCTCACAGTTTAGGAGGCTAGAAGTCTGAATTCAGGGCAGCAGCTCTATGGGAAGGCTTTCTCTCTCTCTGTTGGCTCTAGGGGAAAGGGCCTTTTGTCTTTTCAGTTTCTGTTCCTTGGTGATCTCTACATGGCATCTATCTTCCCCATTTGTGCTTCTTGTTTCTGTGCCTAATCTACTCTTTTATGTCTTAAAAGAGATTGATTTAAGACACACCCAACCTTAATACTGCCTCATTAATATAACAAAGAAAACCCTATCCCCGAATGAGACTACATCACAGAAATAGGGATTAGGATTTATAACACATATTTTAGGGGGACACAATTCAATCTATAACAGGTCCCATGGCCTCCTTTGTGGCTAATGGTCAGTTAATCATCGAAACAGTATTCATTATCTCCTATGTGATCAGTTTTTTGTCACGAGTAATATTGGATCAGTGAAGGAATGAAGTCTCTTCAGGGAAATAATTTGAGTCAAGTCTCTGGTTTGATGAATTAGAGGTGTTGGTCCCATTTGACTACAGGAGAAAACAAAAATTCATTGTTTTAGTTTTCCAGGTATGTAAGAGGGAGTGTTCATTTTCATTGATCTCAGTCATGGTGTGTGCTGAGATCTGAAGCTTTATAAGGCTTTTAAAATTGGACAGGAATGTGATTAGGGCCTAAAGACATGGAGATCGTACTCTTGCCAAGGAAACTCAGAGGTGAATTGTATTGTTGAACAGACCTGCTGAACTTGGGTAAACTCTCCATCACTCTGGATCATTTCATACCAAAACCAAAAACCCATTACCATCCAGTCGATTCCGACTCATCGTGCCCCACAGGACAGAGTAGAACTGCTCCATAGTGTTTCTAAGGCTGTAATCTTTATGAAAGCAGACTGACACATCTTTCTGCTGTGGAATGGCTGGTGGGTTTGAACTGCAGACCTTTAAGTTGACAGCCAAGCACTTAACCACTGCACCATTAGGGCTCTTTCATTTCACACCAGTATCCTCTAAATCAGTTTCCTTATGTTTTACATGGGTTATGGTTAGTTAGAACTAACTCAACAGCAACCAACAAATCAAGGTCTCTAAATCAAGGCCTCTGGATGGCACAAACAGTTAGCTCTCAGCTACTAACCTAAAAGTTGGTGGTTCAACCCCACTCAGCAGCTCTACGGAAGAAAGGCCTGGTGATCTGCTTCCCTAAAGACTACATCCAGAATGTAACGGGTCAGAGAAACTAGATTAATGGAAATCAAAACAACCAGAATGGAAATAATGAGAATGTTCATGCATCGTGAAGAATATAGCCAATGTTACACAGAAAGAATCATCTTTGATGGTTACGGGGGAGGGGAGGGTAAATCATTAACTAGATAGTAGACAAGTATTAACTTTGGTGAAGAGAAAGACAGTACACATTATAGAAGAAGTCAGCACAACTTGACCAAGGCAAAGTCGTAGACGCTTCCTAGACACATCCAAACACCTTGAGGGACCGAGTTACTGGGGCTGAGGGCTGGGGACCATGATCTTGGGGGGCATCTAGGTCAATTGGCATAACATAGTTCATAAAGAAAATATTCTACATCCTACATTGGTGAGTAGCGTCTGGGGTCTTAAAACCTTGTGAGTGGCTTTCTAAGATACATCTATTGATCCCATCCCGTCCAGGGCAAAGGAGAATGAAGAAAACCAAAGACAGAAGTAAAATATTCATCCAGAGGACTAATGGACCACATGAACCACAACCTCCACCTGCCTGAGCCCAGAAGAATTAGATGGTGCTCGGCTACCATCACTGACTGCTCTGACAGGGATCATAATAGAGGGTCCTGGACAGAGCAAGAGAAAAATGTAGAACAAAATTCAAATTCGCAAAAAAAGACCAGACTTACTGATCTGACAGAGACTGGAGAAACCCCCGAGACTGTGGCCCCCAGAAACCCTGCTAACTCAGAACTGAAGTCACTCCCGAAGTCCACCTTTCAGCCAAAGATAAGACAGGCCTATAAAACAAACAATAACTTAGTTCAGTCATGTATACCAGACCAAAGGGGCAACACTTGCCCAAAAGCAAAGACGGGAAGGCAGAAAGGGAGAGGAAAACTGGGTGAATGAATGGACACGGGAAACCTGGGTGGAAAGGGCCGAGTACTGACACGTTGTGGGGATTGCAACCAATGGCACAAAACAATTTGTGTATAACTTTTTGAATGAGAAACTAATTTGCTCTGTAAATGTTCACCTAAAGCACAATAAAATTAAAAAAAAAAAAAAGGAATGTAGCCATGGCACTGAACAGCTTGTGTAGAAATTGTTGAATGGGAACCTAAACTGCTACGTAACCCTTCACAAAAACACAATAAAATATTTTTTTAAATGAATAAAAAACATATTTTGAATGAAAGCACCTACACAAATATATTTTCAGCATGGGAAAATGCATGCTTTTCCACAAAAATTATTTGTTGAAACATTTTTAATAAAAAATAAAATGGAACTTAAAAAAAAAAGGTCACAACCAAGAAAACCCTATGGAGCAGTTCTACTCTGTAACACACGGCATCACTATGAGTCGGAATCAACTTAACTGCAGCAGGTTTGGGTTTTTGTTGTTGATCTTACTTTGTTTTATCCTCTAAATCAGTAACAAAGAAAAGGCAGGGGTGGTGAATGTTAACGGGTAACAAAACCATCTAGTACCGAAGTAGTATGTGATCAGATACAACCAGAATTGGAGAAAACCTTAAATGTTTAACCTAAGTGTAACTGTAACAGAAAATTAAGTCTGATTTATCCATACAATGGAATCAAAAAAATGCTTTTGGCATTACGCAGGAAGACTGCTTAAAATGTAACCTGGCATGATGATGTTGAGGTTTGAAAACATTCCAACATGCAAACTCTGTTTTCTAAGATAAAAGATCTTAGATTACATTTGGGAAACAGAATCCCAGGATTTGTTTTCTTTTCCCTTAAAGGGAAAAAGATGCTGTAGGAATCCACGCTTGCTGAGGATTTATGGGAGAGGCACATACCAGGCTCTGTGCTTATAAACAGGCAGAAAAGTTGGATTATCTTATCTATTCCCTGACATGTTTGGATAATTAAGAATTCCACAGTGCACAGGTGGGTGTCTCTGCAGCAGTAGGGTTCTTAACGTTGTTGTTGTTAGTTGCAGTCCAATCAGCCCTGACTCCTAGCAACATTATGTATAACAGAAACAAAATGTTGCCCAGTTCTGCACCATCTTCAAGATCCTTCCAACCTAGGAGTCTTATCTTCCAGCACTAATTGGACAATGTTCTGTTGTGATCTATAAGGTTTTCATAGGATAACTTTTGGAAGTAGATCGCCTGGCTTTTCTTCCTAGTCTCTCAGTCTGGAAGCCCCACTGAAACCTCTCCATCATGGGTAACCCTGCTGGTATTTGAAATACCGGTCGCATAGCTTCCAGCATCACAGCAACACACAGACCACCACAGTACGACAAACTGACAGGCGGGTGGTGGTGGGGTCTTTGGTAGCATGTAGGTGTTCTGCCTCAGTCGCATGTCCTGACTGCTCTCACCCACATTACAGATCTCTGTCTACTGTTTATTCACTCTTGCCCACAGGTTAGCCCTTCCTCCCCTTTGCATCATCTCGAAACGTACCTTTCACCTCCTCACTACTGTATGGGTGTGTGTTTTCAGGGTTTGGTGACGTTTGCAGATGTGGCCATAGACTTCTCTCAGGAGGAGTGGGCATGCCTGGACACTGCTCAGAGAGATCTGTACTGGGATGTGATGTTGGAGAACTACAGCAACCTGGTCTCCCTTGGTGAGTTCCTGCACGAATAACATATGTGGTGGTGTTAGTTGCCATCAGTTGATTCTGACTCATGGTGACACCATGTGTGCAGAGTAGAACTGCTCCATAGGGTTTTTAAGGCTCTGGCCTTTCAGAAGCAGATCTCCAGTCCTTTTTTCCAAGGCACCTCTGAGTGGTTTGAACCACCAACGCTTCGGCTGGTAGTCAAGCGCTTAACTGCTGGCACCACTGGGGACTCCTCAAAATTTGAGTTGGGCTCAATCAAAAAATTTTTGCGGTCCCTGAAACTATTGCCCTGACATAATCTTTAAACCTTAAGCCAGAAAATACTCTTTGGAGTCTTCTTAAAACCAAACAATAGTTTAGCTTAACTAGTAGAGAGTGTCTGCCTTGAGCATTGTGCTCTACTAAGGACTATATATATGGGATCAAAGTGACAGCAGTAACTCAAAAGATTAGATGGGAAGCTTAGGGGACAGTGAGTTTATGTTAATGGGAGAGGAACAACTCAGAAAAGGAGAGTGAGAATGGCTGCACAACTTGAAGAATGTAATTGATGTCACTGAATTGTACATTTAGAAACTGTTGAATTGGTGCATGTTTTGCTGTGTATATTCTCAACAACAAAATAAAGATTTTTAAAAGTATGCCTATAATTTTAAAATTTACTTTCTACATCATGTGTTATTTCTTGAAAGCAGGGCATTTCCTTTCTCAGCCAGATTTGATTATCTTATGGAAGCCAAGGAGAGAGCCTTTATGGCTGGGAGAGAAAGGACAAGAAAAGACTACAGAGGAAGTGAAAGCTAATCAGGCAAGGGCCAGTGGGCATTACAGTAATCAGCCCAGCTGGGAGGGGAGCTGGTGCATCCCTAAGGTGTTTGGGAAGTGCCCTTTAAAGGTCTAAGGCCACTGAGACCAGAAGAACTAGATGGTGTCTGGCTACCACCACTGACTGTTCTAACCAGGGCCACAATAGATGAACTCTGATAGAATGGGAGAAAAATGTGGTATAGAACCTCAAATTTCAAAAAAAACCCCAAACCTATTGGACTGTTTGAGACTGGAGGACTCCTCGAGACTATTGCCCTGAGATAACTTTTCAAACCTTGAACTAAACTAACCCAAGGTCGCCTTGTAGCTAAATAACAGATTGTCTCAAAATAAAGTAATGAATATCACCCGTAAATACTGTGCTCCTTTAAAAAATCACCTATATGTGGCCAAATGGTCAACAATTCCTTTAAAATAAAGATGAGAATGTAAGGGGCAAGGAAACTAGATTAATGAAAATGGAACAACCATAATGGAAATAATGAGACTAGTAACGCATTGTGAAGAATGTAACCAATGTCACTGAACAGCTTATGTAGAAATTGTTGAATGGGAACCTAAACTGCTGTGTAAACCTTCACCAAAAACACAATAAAATATTATTTACAAAAAAAAAAGTCCAAGGCCTCAGGGAAGAACTAATGGTCTTACCATGAACTTTATCTCTACCCCATTTGCTTCTCACCCTGTTTTATCTTTTCGTATTTCACCCCTAGTTCATGTGTTGCTGCTGCTGCTGGTCTGTGGACCACACCTTGAGTAGGAAAGATGTAAATAATGTGACACTCTGTCCTGGGTAGTTCCTGAAAGTTGGCTGTTATCCTGGATTCGGGTGCTTTTTTGATTTTTCCTTTGTTTTTTAGCAGTAAGGATTCCTATCCTTCCATCCGTTACGTTCTCCCATCACAAGACACCTAATATCTATCACTTATGATGTTAACAATCACTGATACTGAGTGCCAAGATTCAGTATTTAGTTCGGGGTTCAAAATGGTGATATTCTAATTCTGTCATTGCTTCTTCATGTATTGACCATAATCATTCATTAAAGATAAACTTTGCCTCATTACTAGTTTGTTCCTGCATTGGCACTGTTTATATTTGATAAGAAAGATAAAACTAGAATCCTGATCAAAAGGGGGAAAATGCAGTACCAGATTTCAAATTCTTATGGACTCTAGACTTTCTGGTGCCATGGAGGCTAGATGAACCCCTGAAACTATTGCCCTGAGATAATTTTAAATCTTAAACCAAAAAGATCCCCTGATGTCTTCTTAAAACCAAACAGTAGTTTAATTTGACTAGTAAAAAATGTCTGCCTTGAGCATTGTGCTCTTTTGAGATCCTTATGGGATCAAATTGACAACAGCAACTTGAAAGATTAAATAGGAACTTTAAGGGGCAGTGAGTTTATGTTAATGAGGGAGGAATAACTCACAAAATGAGTGTGAGAATGATTGAATAATACTTGAAGAATGTAATCAACATCGCTGAGTTGTACATGTAGAAACTGTTGAATTGATGTTTTGCTGTGTATATTCTCAACAACAACGAAATAAATAAAATTGAAAAAGAAAGAAAAATCTTTTTTCTCTTTAATTATCAGTTTTAATAATTAAGGGTTAATTTCCTAGCATGCAGTTAACATGTTCAGCTGCTAACTGAAAGGTTAGAGGTTAGAGTCCACCCCTAGGCACCTCAGAAAAAAGGCCTGGTGAGCTACTTCTGAAAAAAATCAGCCATTGAAAACCCAGTGGAGCACGTTCTACTCTGATACCCCTGAGTTGGAATCAACTCAACGGCAACTGTTTTTTTTTCCTAGAATGTTCCAGAGTTGGTCATCATGAACTCATGGATTTAAATATGTTTGATGTTTTTTCTTTCCATTGCAGTTAGTGTCCTTATTGATGCACAAATTATTCAAACTTGTCATCATAGGCCTTTCACATTTCTTATTAAGTATAATACTACATATTGTCTTTTTTGATGTGTTTGAGTGTTGGTCTTTTTAATCCAGAATAACTTTTCATTATGTTAGCTATACATACATATATAAATTTCAGAATATTAATTTTATATACAACTACCCAACTGTATATTCATATTTTTTGCAATAATTCTGTATTTTGTTTTTGAGTTTTTCAGGTTTGTCATCATATCATCTCCAAATTGTGCTTATTTTTCAACTGTATTTTTGAGGTTTACGCTTCTGCTTTCTTTTGCTTAATTGTGTCAGCTAATAGGAAGTAAAAACAGCCCTGGTGGTATAAACATTTAAGTGATTAGCACTAACTGACTGTGCCAAACCCATCCAAAGGCTCTGCTGGAGACAGACCTGGCAATCTGCCTCTGTAAATATTACAGTCTAGAAAACCCCATGGGGCAGTTCTGTTCTGTCACATGTGGTTGGCATGAGTTGAAATTGACTTGATGGCACCTAAGAACAACTGTAATAGGAAGTCATACGGATAATACTATGATCTTCTTGTTTGACTTTAACAGAAATGCTTCCAATGCTTTCTCATTAAGTATTGTGGTGCCAGAAGTAGAATCTGTATTTTCACAAGATCCCTAGATGATTCATATTTACTCTACTAGAGAATTTTTATTTCTGCTAGAGAAGTTGTTTGTATCTAGGTTTTGTTCTTTTTTTGTTGTGGTGGTGGTAGTGGAGGTGGTGGTTTTCCTTGAAAGGAGACAAAATACATTATTTCTTTCCAGATTTGGTATCAACCTATGAGACGGAGAGTTTACCTACAGAAAAGAACATTTATGAAATAAGTTTTTCCCAATGGAACGCACATCGAAAAAGTAAATCCACTGGCCTTGACTGGAAGTGTACAGGTGAGTTTGAGGCATCACCAGGCCATCAAGAGAGATATATCCATCAAATGATAATCAACTGTGAAAAAACACCTACTTGTAGAGAAAGTACCTCTGGTAGACCACCTCAGAAACCTCATAATAGAGAGAATTCCTTTGAGTGTAAGGACTGTGGGAAGGCCTTTAGTCGTGGCTATCAACTTGCTCAACATCAAAAAATTCACACTGGTGAGAAACCTTATGAATGTAAGGACTGTAAGAAGGCCTTTCGTTGGGGCAATCAACTTACTCAGCATCAGAAAATCCATACTGGTGAGAAACCTTATGAATGTAAGGATTGTGGGAAGGCCTTTCGGTGGGGCTCAAGCCTTGTGATTCATAGGAGAATTCACACCGGTGAGAAGCCCTATGAATGTAAAGACTGTGGGAAAGCTTTTAGGCGTGGCGATGAACTCACTCAACATCAGAGATTTCACACTGGTGAGAAAGACTATGAATGTAAAGACTGTGGCAAGACCTTTAGCCGTGTGTATAAACTCGTTCAACACAAGAGAATTCATAGTGGTGAGAAACCTTATGAATGTAAAGATTGTGGGAAGGCCTTTATTTGTGGTTCAAGCCTTGTTCAACATAAAAGAATTCATACTGGTGAAAAGCCCTTTGAATGCCAAGAATGTGGCAAGGCTTTTTAAACACATAAATTATCTTACTCAACATCAGAAAATTCATACTGGTGAAAAACCTCATGAGTGTAAGGAATGTGGCAAGGCCTTTCGTTGGGGTTCAAGCCTTGTCAAACATGAGAGAATCCATACAGGTGAGAAACCATATAAGTGTACAGAGTGTGGGAAGGGCTTTAACTGTGGCTATCACCTTACTCAGCATGAGAGAATCCATACTGGTGAAACGCCTTATAAATGTAAGGAATGTGGGAAGGCCTTTATTTATGGGTCAAGCCTTGTTAAACACGAGAGAATCCATACAGGTAAGAAACCCTATAAATGTAACGAATGTGAGAAGGCCTTTGGTCATCGCCATCAGCTGACACAGCATCAGAAAATTCATACTGGTGAGAAACCCGATGAATGTAAGGAATGTGGGAAAGCATTCAGTAATGTAATCCAACTTAGAGAACATCAGAAAATTCATACCGGTGAAAAACATTGTGCATAACAAGAGTGTCAGAACACTTCTACACAACCGTCATGCCTTCCTCGATACGAGGAAAATTCATGATATAATTTAACATAAGAAAGCCTTCACTGGTCACTCTCCTGTTTACAGAGCATCAGCGTAGTCATACTAGAGGCAGATTTGGAGAATGGAGAAATCACATTTTCCTTCATGATCACATGATCACATGATTTTTCACTGGATAGGTTAGTTTAATAAATGCATAGAAGCCTTCCAGTACATTCAATCCTTGTTGAATTTCAGCTGATTCATTCTAGAGGATCACCCTGCTAATGTAATGCATGTGGGAACGCCTTTAGTCATGGTCCGTATCCTACCTGTCAACACTACAATCCCCACCTCTTTACTCTCTGTGAGACACTGAACAAACTACTTTTTACCGCTGTGCATTATTTGTAAAATGAGGATAATTACGCTTAACAAAGATTGCTGTTGTGATGAGTGAATGAGTCTGGTACGTGTAAACTCTTTGAAAGTGTGTCTGGAACATTGTGTAAGCTCAATAAATATCAGCTATTGTCGTTTTATGGCCATTACCATTAGTGTTGCTGTTGTGAATTCTTACAAGAGGAACATCTGTGGGTGCAATGAATTTAGAAGAAGACTATTGAACTTTTAGAGGAAAACACAGGAGATTATCTTGGTAACTTCGGGTTAAACAAAGATTTCCTAGTACACAAAAGAGACTAAACATAAAAAGAAAAGTTAAGAAATTGGGCTTCATCAAAATTACAGAGTTCTGCTCATCAACTGATGTCATTGCACCACTAAAATAGTGAAAAGGCAAGAAAGAGACTGGGAGAAGATATTCACTCTACATACTCCTGACAAAGAACTCACATAGAAAAAAAGACTCCTTGAAGGCAGTAACAAATGAACCAATAAAAAGAGGGAAAGACTTGACTAGGTACTTCACAAGAAAAGACCTGAATGGCCAGTAAGTAAATAAAAATGTGCTCAACACCATTACACATCCAGCCAATAAAACCCGTTGCTGATGAGTCAGTTCCACCTCATAGCAACCCTATAAGACAAAGTAGAACTGCCCCATAGGGTTCTACTGCCACGTTGTTCTCCCGCAGAGCACAGAGTGGCTGTTGGGTTCAATCTGCCAACCCTTTGGTTAGCAGCCAAGTGCTTAACCATTGCACCACTAGGGCTCCTTTATTACACATCAAGGAGATGTAAAGTGAAACATGATGCCAGTAGACACCAGAATAGCCAAAAGGAGTCCCCACAGTGGCGCAAACAGTTAAGGGCTCTACTACTAGCCAAAATATTGGTGGTACGAATCCACCCAGAGGTGCCTTGGAAAACAGGCCTGAGATGTGCTTCTGAAAGGTCACAGACTTGAAAACCCTAGAATGTAGCAGTTCTACTTTGCCACATGGGGTTGCTGTGACTTGGAATTGACTCAGTGGCACCCAACAACAAGATCTCTACATGCTTCACTTTCTTACTTCATGTATTTGCTCAATTCACAGCCCTTCGGAGAGGCCTTCTCTGACCACCCTGTCTAAATAATCCCCTTGCCCTGTCCTTAGGAGCCTTGGTTGAGCAACGGTTAAGCACTCAGCTGCTAACTGAAAGGTTGGCGGTTCGAACCCACCAGCTGCTCTGCAGAAGACCTGGTTATCTGCTCCCATAAAGATTACAGCCTAGGAAACCCTATGGGGCAGTTCTGCTCTGTCAAATGGGGTTGCTGTGAGTCAGAATCAACTTAATGGCACCTAACTACAACAACAGTTTGAATGCAAACAATTTGTGCCACCCAGGGACAGGGACCTGGGCAGGCAGAATCAGCAGCTATCAACTCCAGGGCAAAGAACAGTCCCAGGGGCCAACGGAGGGACCTACCTAGAGGCATGGCAAAAAAGCTGTCCAAACTAAAGAACTGTATCCTGAGTCGTTCCTGATCCTGAATAGTAACCTGTTACTTGCCTAATAAACCCCACAATCATGAGTATTGTCAGTTCTTTGTGGCCATTGCAATGAATTATCGAATGCAGCTGAGAAGTGGGAGGGACAGCTGATGTCAGAATTGGAAAAAAGGTTGAAGAGAGGAGGTATGTCTGACCTCTACCTCATAGGAATCAGCGTTTGGCTGATATTGATCTTGATTCTCCCCCCACATGAAGTTAGAGAAGGTCAGAAGTCCACTCCACCATTTTTACATACCTGTGACCCAGTAATTCCATTCTTAGCTATATACCCAGCACAGTGTGTTCATATACTTGTTAGAACACCTATACCGCCATGTTCAGGAGTCCCTGGCAGATGCAGTAAACCATTCAACTACTAACCAAAAACTTGGAGGTTCAGATCCACCCAGGGGCACCTCCGAAGAGAGTGCTGATGATCAACTTCTGAAAGATCACAGCCATTGAAAACCCAATGGAACACAGTTCTACTCTGAAACACATGGGGTCACCATGAGTAGGAATCGACCCTAGGGAGCATAGTTCTACTCTGAAACACATGGGGTCACTGAGGTCGGAATCAATGACAAATGGTTTGGTTTGGTTTACCACCACGTTCATGGAAGCACTATTCTTAATAGGCAAACATTGGAACTACAACTACGTGAAACAACATGGCTGAAATCTCACATCATACTTAACGAAAAGTTCACCGTGTTGGAGGCAATGTATGGAGTTCAACAACTGTTTGTAGTCAGAATAATGGTTACCTCGGGGGGTGGTAACTGGAAGCAGGGCCAAAGAGGTGCTTCTTCAGCCTTGAAAACCCTATGGAGCACAGTTCTACTCTGACATACATGGGGCCGCCATGAGTAGAAATCAACATCAACTAACAAAAACGGCAGAGACCTCTAGCTGCCTACAAAACCCAAAAAGGTGCTTTTTATGTGTAGGTAAGATTCTATTTCTCTGACTGGGTGCTGGCTTCATTGTTGTATTTACTTTGCTGTAGACTTATGGAATAGGCACTTTTCAATATGTATATATACTTTAAAATTTTTTAATTAAAAACTATACAACATTAAACACATTTTGTCCACTAGAAATAAATAGAGGGCTCTAAACACATACCCTCTCCACCACCATGGAGATCCAAACTTTACTCCCTGAGCCAGAAGAAATTTCCAACGTGGTGGAGGGATTCCACACAGCATCCAGTTTCTGTCCTTAGGCTGATTCAGCACCAGGGATGTTTTTGTCAATATGAGGTTGGTAGCTATTGGTCATTCTTCTTCAGGCTGCGTTGGATCCCATATCCAAAATATACAGCAAATCCTAGTAGGGAAATGAGGCATAGAGGTGAGGAAGTAGTCATTCTCCCCACTTATGAATGTTCAATAGGCCTCATACTTACGGTGTCTGAGACAATTTTAGGGAAATGTGGTGGGAAGAATGTTGGGCTCAGTCACCCAAGGGCACTCTTTTCCCCAGGAAGCCACTTAAACCAATTACCATCCAGACTCAAATCAGGCCCAGGTCCCAGAAGTCAACTGCATCATCAAGTAAACATTTATAAAGATGCTCACCAGTGAGAGGAAAGGCAAAGTGGGGACCTGTGGACAAAGTCAGTTAATCCCCAGAGTTACCACGGAAGTCTGGAAGGGAGATTCCCTACCCCACTTGGGAGGGTAGGAACACTCCAGTCTGACTAAAGCTGTGCATCGGTCATCCATTCTCCATCATTCTGTTTTCTCAGCACCTATGACGTCCACCCACTGCAGACTGGCTTTTACCTGCAGAGATTCACTGGAAACACTGTAGCCAGCACCACCCACAACACCCCATGACTAAATCTAATATTCATGGCCAGTGCCTCTTCATACTTACTGAGTATCCCATTACCTGTTCCAGAAGAGACAGCTGTTGGAAAATGAAACTAGTAAATAACTGAGTGGGAGGTCAGGGAAAGATCATTGCCTTCCTCACATCCCCTTTTCCTGGTCTGCTAAAAAATGCTTATGAACTCAGTTGCCTCCTTTGCCGTGAGACCAGAAGAACTGAATGGTGTCTGGCTACCATTACTGAACATTTTGATCGAAGATTCTATAGGAGAAGGGTGGGGGGAAGATTCTGTAGAAGAATCCTGATCAAATGGGGTGAAATGTAGTACAGATTTCCAAGTCTAGTGGAATGCAGATTTTCTGGAGCCATGGAGGCTGGGTGAATCCCTGAATCTATTGCCCTGAGATAATCTTTAAACCTTAAGCCAAAAATATCCCCTGAAGTCTTCTTAAAACCAAACAATAGTTACAGCTTAACTGGTCAAGAATATCTGCCTTGAGCTCTTTTAAGATCTATCCATATGAGATGAAATTGACAACAGCAACTCAAAAGATCAGATAGGAAACTCAAGGGGCAGTGAGTTTATGTTAATGCGAAAAGAGCAACTGGGAAAAGGTGGCTGAAAATGGTTGCACAACTCAAAGAATGTAATCAAGGTCACTGAATTGTATGTGTAGCAACTGTTGAATTGGTGTATGTTCTGCTGTGTATATTCTCAACAACAACAAAAATTAAGTTATATTTTTTAAATGTTTATGAACTCGATAGACTTCAGAGCTTGCAGAGTTCATTCACTCAAAGTGGGTAGTTTCTGGGTATAAAGACGACCACTTACTTTGAAGTGGAGCAGGGTAGAGTTCTGGGGCTGTCTCCAAAGGATGAAAGTGATCCCAGTAATGAACACCAGCAACAGCACAGCCACTGTTGTATAAACTGGGTCCCCAGAGAATAGACGTCTGAACATTTGGGCCAGTATTCAGGCACAGGACCATCATCAGTATGACGGCAAAAGTGAAGTTGGGAGAGATCAGGTCCAACTCTGGAAGCCAAATATGTAAAGACCTTGGGCCACATTCCACCCCAGAATGCATGTATAAAAGGGCCATCATCCCTCCAAGATGCCTCCTCAGCTCCAAAAACCAACACAGTCCCACCCCATCCTTTCAATTTCAGAACACTCTAAAGAGAAATCCCACTGCTCACCAAGTAGAGAGGCACAACCACAGACGATCTGCCCAGATTTCAGAGTGGAGATGGTATTGTTGGACCAACACAGACTTTTCTCTTTCAGGTACAGATTCCCATGGCTTTGGAACAGACTTCTTCTCAAATGTTTACACCTTCGTTGCCTCATTCTTGCTTAACTTCTGGTCTGGCTGGTACCTGAATTAAAGGTATTAAGGCAATTGTGTCAGTTATCCAGTGCTGCTGTAACAGTGGATGCCTTTAACAAAGAGAAATTTGTTCTCTCATCGTCTAGGAAGCTAGAATTCCGAATTCAGTGTGCCAGATCTAGGGTAAGATTTTCTCTGTCCATTCTAGGGGAAGGTCCTTGTCATCAATCTTCCCTGGTGTAGGAATTTCTCAGTGCAGGGACCCCAGATCCAAAGGACATGCTTCATTCCTGGTGCTTCTTTCTTGGTGGCAAGAGGTCCCTTTCCTCTCTGCTTGCTTCTCTCTTTTATATCTCAAAAGAGATTGACTCAAGATACAGCCTAATCCTGTAGATTGAGTCCTGCCTCATTAACTGCCTCTAATTCGCCTCATTAACGTCGTAGAGATTAGGATTTACATCACATAGGATAATTACATCAGATCACAAAATGGAGGACATCCACACAATACTGGGAATCATGGCCTAGCTAAGTTGACACACATTTTGGGGGACACAATTCAATCCATAACAGCAATATTAATACCAGCCCCTATTCAGTTCGAACTGATCCAGTGGCTCTGTGAAAGAAAGACCTGGCGATCTGCTCCTGTAAAGATTACAGCCAGGGTAAAGATTACAGCCAGTAAAACCCTATGAAGCAGTTCTACTCTCACAAGGGGTTGTTATGAGTTGAAATTGACTGGATGGCACTTAACAACAACAACTCATTCAACATCAGTCTAATCTACCCTATTCTCCACCCTAAGTGTAACAGTACACTTAGGAGTAAGTATGAAGGCACAAGAGGAGGAGGATTAGCTCCCCAGGAATCCTCATGAGTCTAAGACCCCCAGTAAAGGTGTAGTGGAGTCTCACCTGAGGACAGGAACAGAAAAGGCCACCATGGAGTAAGAAAGCAGAGTCCCAGTTGATGTGAGGTCCACAAGATCACTGAGCTCAAAGAGGAATGCCATGAGTGCTAGAATTAAGGGACAAAAAAGAGGTGGGGGGCGGTGAGAAACTACTGCAAATATCCAAGTCAAGGAAATTGATAAAAGAAGATGAAGATTTT